TTGGCTAAAAATATGCCTAAGCTATTGGTCAAACAGTGTTGTAATTAATATAGTTTTTGTGTTATTATTTGGGCCCAGGTGAACAGGAAACGAACAAGCAGTCTCTGCCCACAAGCTTGGATTAACATAATGTCAATTATCATCATTATCATTTTAGTAATGTTTTATCCCTAAAAAATTGTCTGATATCAGTGCCAAATATGAAAAATTAACTGATAAGTTACAATCCTTAGAAAGACAAACTAATGAAATTAAAAGAAATATTCACACACAGACAAGGAGTTTAGAGCAGAACCTACCACACCATTGTATTATGAAACTGAAGCGAAGTGGCCCAAGGTTATTAGAAAACTAAGCTTAACTTATCCGGTTTCCATTGAAGAACAACCACCAGATTAGAGGCACCCTGAAGCTATTCAAAAGTTAACTGGGATCCTATAAAATCTTATGTTTGAAGGGGTTTAAGGAAGCAATGGTTTCATATGGTGTGCATTCACCTTTTGGGAAGCAGATGTTAAATTCATGGGCCACAAGGAATGGAATTATTCCACAAGACTGGTAAGATTTAGTTACAACAACATTGGAAGCTGGTCCTGAGTTCAGTGGAGAACCTGGTGGGGAGAGGAAGCTAGGGTCATAGAACAGCGAGATAGGACTAGAGGCTATGCGATTTCCCAAGATTAAATCTTTAGCTAGGGCCATTATGCTGACTTGTAAAGACAGTATACATTTGATGATTTGAATGATTGAGATAAAATTGTAGAATCAGGAAAGAAGACTGAGCCATTTGCTAAAATTACATAAGGCCCAAAAGAAGCCTTTACTGGCTTTTTTTTTTATATACAAAGCTTGACTTAGGCTGTAAGTAGAATTGTATCAGATGCATAAATTAAACCTTTTGCTTTTGAAAATGCTAATTCAGAGTATGAAAGGGTGATCAGGTTTTTAGGACAAGATCTGCACCCACAGATGAACGGATTAGAAGTAATGCTAATATTGGATCTCATGCTGATGATGATGATACTTGGATGGGAGAAGTAATTTCTAAAAATTTTAAGAAAACTCAGAAGGTTGGATGTTTTAATTGTGGTTAACCAGGTCATCTGAAACGGGACTGTAGGCAAGGCATTCCTAGGAACAAAGTTGTTTTCTAGAGATAGTCCAAACAAGAAGGCTCCAGCCTTCTGGAATATGCAGAAGGTGTGGCAAAGGCCCACACTGAACTACTGAATGCAGATCAACATGGGACAGGCAAAGCGACCCTTGGAAATGCCTTAGAGGGCCTCTTGAAGGCCCCTGTGTCAAATCTGGTTCAACCATTTCCAGTCAGCACTGGGGAAACTCTTCCACAGAGCAATTAAAAGACCTAATGCCTGCGTGGAAACCGTACTGCTCTGATGATGCAGCCACTTTAGAAGATAAAACAAAATTTCTAGGTGAAACCATAAAGCAAATATTTAGTCAACTTTCTATAAATGATCAAAGACCAAAGTTAAAAATACAAATAAATAGCATTGAAATTGAGGATTTAGTGGGCACAAAGGCAGATGTAGCAATAATTGCATCAAAATTTTGACATCCAAACTGGCCTCTTTAGGAGGCAAATGTTCAGATTCTAAAGATTGAAACCTTATCTCAGATAAAACAAAGTGCAGGATTGGTCAAGTGTATAGAGCCAGAAGCACAGACAGGAAAATTAAGGCCATATATGGCTAACATAGCAGCAAATTTATGGGAATGTGATTTGTTACAGCAATGGAACACCCAGATTAGCCATTTTTCTTTTCTTTCTTTTCTCTCTCTCTTTCTTTCTTCTTTTTTCTTTCTTTCTTTTTTTTAATTGTGTTTTTCAAGATAGGGGTTCTCTGTGTAACAGTCCTGGCTGTTCTAAAACTCACTTTGTAGACCAGGCTGGCCTCAGACTCACTGAGATCCACCTGCCTCTGCCTACTGAGTGCTGGGAATAAAGGCATGCACCACCACTACCAGGCTTCTTCTTCTTTTTGTTTGTTTTGTTTTGTTTTGTTTTGTTTCTTAACAGAATTTCTCTGTATAGCCCTGGGTGTCCTGGAACTTGCTTTGTAGACCAGGCTGGCCTCAAACTCATCCCCCCACTCCCTCTGACTCCCAAGTGCTGGGATTAAAGCTGTGAGCCATGACCACCTGACTGTACAGCATTCTTAAAGGCTGAGCCATCTGTCTAGTTCCATCTTTTATCTTTTCCAAAGTATCCATTCCGACTAGGGAGAGGTGCCATCTCAGAGTGGCATGATTTATCTCAGAATGAGTGGTATGAATTTTTCCCCCTTGTAGGCCTGTCTTCTTTTGAGAAATGTCTATTTTGATTTTTAGTCCAGTTTCTGGATTAATTATTATTTATTTTATGTATATGAGTGTTTTGCTGGCATGTATGTCTGTATACCATGTGTATGCTTGGTGCCTGTGGAAGCCAGAAGAGAGAGGTAAGTCTTCTGGAACTGGAGTTGCAGACAGTCGTGAGCTGTGGGTGCTGGGAACTGAACCCAGGTCCTCTAGAAGAGAGGCTGTTTCCCTTAATGTCTGAGCCATCTCTCCAGCCCTGTGATTATTTAGCTTTTGAACTATTTGAGTTTCAAGTACCCATCAGTAGGAGAATAGCTAAGAAAATGTATGGTTATATATGAAGAATGCTATTATTTAGTAATTGGAGTACTGTTTTAGTAAGTGGAATATTGTCATTGGTAACAAAATGAGGAGCCTGGAGACACTGTATGAGTGAAATTAGCCAGACACAGAAAATACTTTGTGACCTGAAGCTGGGTATGTCAGAACACCAGTGTTGTAGTTTGAATTAGAATGGCTCCCATAGGCTCATATAATTGAATGCTTTGTCCCCAGTTCGTAGAATTTTGGGGGAAGGATTAAGAGGTTTGGTCTTATTGGAGGAGGTGTGTCACTTGGGTGGTCTTTGAGGTTTCTAAAGCCCACACCACTCCTAACTGGTTCTCTCTCTCTCTCTCTCTCTCTCTCTCTCTCTCTCTCTCTCTCTCTCTCTCTCTCTTTATGTGTGTCCATATGTCTATCTGTGTGTGTGTATCTATCTGTCTATCTATCTCTGTCACTCTCTGCTTCATGGTTCTGTCTCAAGATGTAAGATCTTGGGGCTGGAGAGATGGCTCAGAGGTTAAGAGCACTGGATGCTCTTCCAAAGATCCTGAGTTCAATTCCCAGCAACCACATGGTGGCTCACAACCATCCATAATGAGATCTGGCGCCCTCTACTGGCCTTTGGGCATACATGCAAGTGGAACACTATTACACAAATAAACCAGGAAGCTCTCAGCTACTGCAGTAGCACCAGGCATCCCTGTCTGTTGCCATGCTTCCCACCGTGATGATCACAGACTCACCTTCTGAATTTGTAAGCGAGCCCCAATTGGATACTTGCTTTTATAAATTGCCTTGGTCACAGTGTCTCTTCAGAGCAACAGAACAGTGACTAAGACAGCCTGGAATCCTAGAACTTGAAAGGCTGAGGCAGGAGGATCAAGAGTTTGAGGCCAGCTTGGCCAGCTTGTTAGTATCTCATGTGTGTGTGTGTGTGTGTGTGTGTGTGTGTGTGTGTGAGTGAGTGTGTGTGTGTGTGTACCGTCACAATCTCAATTATATGTGGAATCTGTGAAAAAGTAAATCTTCTTGAGTAGAGTAGAATTTCTCAGAAGCTAAAGAGAGAATTGGATGCTCAGGGTACAGACTGTGCGCAGGTGGAGGAAGTCCTACCATCCCAGTAAGCATGAGTCATAGTTTGGTTTTTGAGACAGGTTCTCATGTAGCTCAGGATGGCCTCAAACTTTCTATGTAGCCCAGGATGACCTTAAACTCCCGATCCTTCCATACTGCTTCCTGAGCTCTAGGAGCTACAGGTTTGTGCCAGCAGGGCTGGCTCATGGTTTATGTTTCAAAACGACAAGAGAAGGATTTTGCTACAAAAAAGTTGATGGGCAGCCGGGCGGTGGGGGCGCACGCCTTTAATCCCAGCATTCGGGAGGCAGAGGCAGGCGGATCTCTGTGAGTTCGAGGCCAGCCTGGTCTACAGAGCTAGTTCCAGGACAGGCTCCAAAGCCACAGAGAAACCCTGTCTCAAAAAAACAACAACAACAAAAAAAAGTTGACGGGCATGTTAATTACCAATTTGATTACTACATTGTGTATATACTGATATATATATAAACATATACATATGTGTATGTGTGTGATATGTGCCCCCATAGAACTGAATAATTATTGCATGCCAATTCAAAATAAAACTTTAGCCATCCATGGCTGAACATCCTGTACCCCAACATTCGGAAGACTGACATAGGAGAGTGAGTTTCAAAAGACCTGGGCTACATGGTAAGACCCTAACTGTCTCACAGCAATGCAAAACCAGTAGCTCCAAATAGGCCTTACCTCCTCTAATAAATGAACAGGGTGCTGGGGCCTGCAGAGAAAGCAAGGACCCAGGGGGGAGGAGGGACGAGTGGAAGAGTTAGCTGGACCTAGCACAGGGGAGTGGTTTGAGGATGGCTCTAAAACATGTTGCCAGGCAACCGGAACGGCACTCACTATCTGCAGACGTCTCGTGGGACAGATGGGACACCCCCCTCCTCCATCTGAGCACTCTCAGAAGCCAGTTCAAGCTTTCTGAGACTCTGACCCTCCGCGGCTCTCTCTTCCAGCCTCACCTCCCACGGCCCCCTAAGAAACATCTGCTTTAGCAACGTAACTCTTTAAGATTTAGTGATTTTTATGCGTATTGGTATTTTGCCTGCATGTGTGTATATGTACCTGTGCCAGATGTATGCCTGGTGTCCTTGGAGGTCAGAAGAAGGCATTGGATCTCCCGGAACTGGAGGTACAGACAGTTGTGAGCTACATCGTAAGTGCTGGGTACAGAACTTGAGTCCCCTGGAAGAACAGCCAGTGTTCTTATGCTTTTAACCATTTCCCAGGCCCCTCAACAATACTTTTTATGACTGTAAAAGTAAAGACATTTATTGTGAAAAACTTGAAAAAACACAGAAAAGTAAGAAGAAAATCACACTTTGATCCCCCACCTTTCAGATGACTACATTAAACATTTGGGATGTGGTTTTTATTATAAATGAGAACAATACATATTTACAGATGAATGACTTCCTTCTTCCCATTCCATGTCGGCTGCAGCCATTTCTGGGGTCATTACAGTTTCTGAAAACATGGCAAGGGTGTCACGAACACAAGCCACTCCCAATCATCTTATAACTGCTGGAGCTGAAACTGCGACCACGTTTCACATTTGCGTGTTTCTGTTTTTACCCTCCTTCTCTCTCTCTGGCTTCCCCACATCTGTTGCTTGCTTACTGTTTTTCCTCTGCTGAGCTGAAGGAGATCCATCTGTGTCCCGCCATGGTTCCTGCTCTACTTACTTATAATCTTTTGCCTATAGTGCCTATGCTAAAAATACCTTCCCCTTCCTAGCTTTCAAAGCCTTATTTCTTCATTCATTCATTCATTCACTCATTCATTTGTTCATGTGACTGCACACTGAGCACCTGTTTTTGCCAGGCACGGGAGCCAATAGGAAATGGGATATGGCCGAGGAGACCCTGGGACAAACACAAAGCCTTCTTGTCTTTCTTCAGAAACAGTAGGACACTTCCTTCTTTTAGTGCCCTTGTGACTGTCTGTCACTCAGTTTAGGGCTCAGAGCATTCTGACCCTGTCTGGGCTGAAGTCCTGTTAGGTGGTACCCCCCATCTCTACCCCACTTCTTTCAGCTTTCTTCTCTCCCTGCAGCTGAAAACCAAAAACAGCTCAGGAAATGTCAGAGCCCTTGACCTCTCGGTTCGGTGACATTATCCTCTAAATACCTGAAATTGGGGCACTCAGCTTGGCAAAATCTACCGCAACAGCTGCTGTGTCCCTTATGGGCCATTTGTGACTCGTTTCTGCCATCTCGTTAAAGGTGGTCCACATGGCCCCCAGTGAGCAGTAGAAATGGTTCAAGGGGGCCCACGGGTGCCCATCTCAGCCCTTCCTTTTCCTCACAGGCTAAGGGAAGGGGCAAGGGCAGCTTGATGTGGTGAGAACTGATCCGGGCCCCTTTCCATGCCTTGGCTCCCCTCCCCCCTCCCACATTCATCTGGAGAACCACCTGGGCCTCCATTTCCCACCTTCCCCTTCTCCATCCGGGCCAGCACAGCCACACTCGTGCCTCCTTTTGTAGGTCAGCCCGTTCTCAAGGACTGTGCCCTCTGACTCAACAACTTCCTCTTGCGAATCTCCTCCAGCAACCACCTTCGGACCACATGCCAGTACCAGAGGCTGATGGGTCAGAAGCAGCACAGTTGGGAACTGTCCCCTCCCTCTGCCTCAGACCCTCGGGGAGACCCTGGAACCCGTGTTCCACCCCCAGGGCCTGTATTCTCGTCTAACTCCCTCTTACTCCCTTTAGAAAAGGGAAGGACTTCAGTCTTGAAGTAGAAGAGGAAACAGACAAACCCAGAAAACCAAGACTATTAGAAAAGGAATCAAGACCAGGGGGGTTGGCGGCACCCAGTTTCCGCGCTGGGCTAACGCTAATGCCTCTCCTCTTCTTGCGTGTGGGCGTGGGGTGGGTGGGTGTCGGTGTGAGGGATCCTTTGAGGGAAGTTTCTGGCAGCTTAGTCCCCATCGAGTTTGCATTCTTTTGAAGGCTACAAACAGATTTAGGTTTTCAGCTGCTTCGACCCTGTCTGAGCGAGATGGAGGGCCCTGCGCTCTCGGCAGTTACCGGGCCCCTCATTCTGGCGGTTCACAGTCCCTGCTGGGCTCTTTCCCAACATCTGTACTCACTCTACTCTTCACAACCATCACCTAAACGTCACATCTTGCACACAAACTGCATCTCTGAGTGGACACAGCAGGTGCTAGGCTTCTTGGAGCCAGAAACTCTCACCTCTGCCCCAAGGAGAGTAGCCAATCTCTGGCAGCCTCCCCCAGCAGCTACAGAGTGCTCAGAGGAAAGTCACAGGTCACAGTTCACACAAGAACAGGCTGGATGCCCCCATCCAGTCTCTAAGCTGGCCCCCGAGCAAATGGGAGTCCTGAAGGGGGCGCCATAAACTTCCCAAAGTTTGGCATTTCATTCTTCTTTGTCAGATCCCAGCATCTCAAGGCGGATCCTCGAAGGAATTGTAGGTCAACTAAGATTATCCTCTTGGAGATTCAGAAACTGACTCGAAAGGGAGGATAGTGGAAGAAAGGGGGAGAGAATGGATGGATGGATGGATGGATGGATGGATGGATGGATGGGTGGGTGGGTGGGTGGATGGATGGATGGGTGGATGGATGGGTGGGTGGGTGGGTGGATGGATGGATGGATGCACTTAGTTCACAGATATTCACAAATGTAGAGTGCCAGGATGCTGAGCGCAGAATCCAGGGTTAGGGAGCAGGTCGGGTGAAGGCCACCTGATGCTCACATGCTTTGAGGTGCAGCCCCATCTTTAGCTTCTAGCCCATCAGAAGTGGGGGTTTCCACAGCCTCATCCTCGCCGCCCACCAGCGGTTCTTCCTCCCCCTTTAGGTCGGGAGCTGGCCCAGACTTCAGCTCCTCCAGTACTAAAGAGCCCTGGCGAGACTTCCGCCTGCTGAAGAAAGTGGTGAGCGTGGGCCGCTGCCCCGACCCCTCTCTCTCCAGGGCCGCCGAGCCCTTGTTGCCCCCTGACCCAGATGCTGCGGCTGTTGCGGCCTCTTCATCAGGAACCCGGGCTGGCCCAGCCCAGGCATCCACTACCCCATTACGCTTCCCACCTCCACTCAGCGTCAGGGCCCCAGTCCTCCGCTTCTGCCGCCGGCGCCATAACAGCAGCAGAGCCACAAGGGCCAAAACCACTAGCAAGGCCACAAGCATGGGCACTAGCAACATGCCCCTTGATCCCTGGTGTGGTGTCCTGGTGGTTACCGGCTCTGGGGTAGACATTATGGATATTTTTATGTTGGAGACTGGAGTGCCACCGGCTGCACTAGAACTCTCCACAGAACTGGCTGCTATGGTGGTCGGGAGTCCATGTGGCTCACTGGAGAGCCCTAGAGATTCAGTAGTCATGGTGACAGGGGGACCACTGGACTTGGAGCTTACTGTTGTAGCCACAGAGGGTTCACTGGTCTCCTTGGAACTTGTCATGGTGTCAGGGGGTACACTAATCCCTTGAGAGGTTTCTTGAGAGGTAAAAGAGACAGCTCTGCCTGTCACAGGATTGGCTGTGGTGGCAGAAGGGTCACTGGAAACGGCTGTCGATTCTGGAAGCTGCACCGATGTCTTGTTGGAAACTTCCCGGGAGATTGCAGGCTCCGGTACAGGGGTGTTTATGATGTCACCAGTGGGAAGTCCAAAGGGGGTTGGGGAAGGTGGATGTGGAGTCAGATGTGGGGTCTGAGTCCAGATGCCGGTAGTCCCCTCAGGATCCACTGTCCCTGGCCTAGTGGAGACTGCTGAGTCGACAGCCGAGGCCTCAGGGATACTTGGGACCTCAGAGATAATTGGGACCTCGGTATGGAGGGTAGATAGCAACATCGATGTGTTCTGCAGACCTTCTGGGTTGCTCGTCACCTGGGTCCCTGGGACCTCGGTATGGAGGGTAGGTAGCAACATCGATGTGTTCTGCAGACCTTCTAGGTTGCTCATCACCTGGGTCCAAAAGCCCCCAAAGAGGAGGAGAAGCAGGGCCATCTCCAGAGCTGGAGTTGGGACCTGAAGGTAGGGAAGTTGCAGAAGAACACACAGGGGTTGGGAGGGAAACCTGGCCGGCCCCCTCCTTCTGCCCACTTCCCTGCCAACTGCCAAGCCCAACTTGTGGTTTAACGGTTTTTTTTTCCATTCTTGCTTTTACTATTATCAGAACCAGCAAGGGAACAGATGGTGGCAGTGACCCCCACCCTGGCCTTGGCAGCTCAGACTCCCCCAGCAGCCATGTCCTCCTGGCCTTCACTCATTCCGCTCCAACCAATGGCTCTTGACCCCTTCTCCCATCACCCGACCCATCTTTCCAAACTCTAGGTAGGTCCCTCATCCTCTGAGCACCGCCTGCCCGTCTATAGCATGCCACCTTACCAGTTCAATGGAAGCGGCACAGGGCCAGGGCGAGAGCACCTCCTGCTCCTCCAGAGACTTGGTCAGGACTGGGGCAGACTGAGCCCCAAGGGGAAAGGAAGTGGGTCTCGGCTCCACCCACTCCACCCCTGCATCCTGCCCCACCCATTCCTACTCCTACCATTGCCTGAGGGACCCAGGGGCTCAGTGGAGGCACCAAGGGATGCTTTGGTCCAGAGCTGGGATTCTTAGGTTTCCGCTGGGATACAGGACGTCAAGCAGCCAGAGCTGGGAGATGAGGAGATGTGCTAAGGACCAGGAGACAGAAAGAGGACATGGGAGGAAGGATTTTCCTTCCCGTCTGTTTGTTGTCCCAAGCTGTCGGGCTGGTACCTAAGCTGGTGCATTTCCTGCCAAGAGCTCCCAGGAAGCCCAGCCCACCCCACCCACCGCACCCTAGCCCTGACTCTGCTCGTAGCTCTGGTCCTCAGTCTGCTGAGTCTTGCCAGAGCCACAAGAAGCTGAGGTCATGCCAGTGGCCCCCAGTTAAGGCTACGACTAACCACTGCATATGCTGAGGTCTTAGAAAACCATAAGGGCTAAAGAGATGGCTGAGAGGTTCAGAGCACGGCTGCCCTTGCAGAAGTCTGGGGTCAGTTCCCAGCTCCAACATGGAGGCTCACAACCACCCATAATCTGGGGAATCTGATGCCTCCTTCTGTCTCAATGGCACCAGCACACGTAGGCACAGGCAGGCACTCATGTACACGAACGCAAATAAAGTGAATTAAGGTTCACTTACTTAGCCAGGCGGTGGTGGCACACGCCTTCAATCCCAGCACTCAGGAGGTATAGGCAGGAACTCTGTGAGTTCCAGGCCAGCCTAGTCTACAGAGCTAGTTCCAGGACAGTCAGAGATACAAAGAGAAACCCTGTCTTGAGAAAAAAAAATTCACTTACTTAAAAAAAAGAAATTTTCTAGGGGGCTGGAGAGATGGCTCAGTGGTTAAGAGCGTTGCCTGCTCTTCCGAAGGTCCTGAGTTCAATTCCCAGCAACCACATGGTGGCTCACAACCATCTGTAAAGAGGTCTGGTGCCCTCTTCTGGCCTTCAGGCATACAGACAGGATATTGTATACATTAAATAAATAAATAAATAAATAAATATTTAAAAAAAAAAAGAAATTTTCTAGAAAGACCTCTATTAAGAAATCAGTCACCAGTTGTGGTGGCGCACACCGGTAGGATTTGCTGAAGGAGGCAGAGGCAGGAGGATCATGAGTTCGAGGCCAGCCTGGGTTACACATTTTTAAATCCCAGCACTTGGGAGGCAGAGGCAGGTGGATCTCTGTGAGTTTGAGGCCAACATGGTCTACAAGCGCTAGTTTCAGGACAGGCTCCAAAGCTACAAAAAAACCTTGTCTCGAAAAACAAACAAAAAAAAGAAAGAAAGAAAGAAGGAAGGAAGGAAAAAAAGAAAGAAAAGAAATTAGTCAAAGTCTTCAACTGAGCCATTTTTGCAGCGCTGTAGACTGACCCCTGGGTCCACATCCGTTCCCTGCTCTCAGCCACATCCCCAGCCGTGAAGAAGGAGCTCTTTGCATTCTTTCTTTGAATGATTTCTGTTGCCTGACTTGAGTTAGGAAATGGATTCTTTCAGTATGTGTCTGTTTGGGAGCCTTGCCTTGCCTTCTAAACACTCATTACTGACTGGACACGGTGGCACATGCCTTTAATCCCAGCACTTGGGAGGGAGAGGCAGGCAGATCTCTGAGTTCAAAGTCAGCCTGCTCCACAGTGTGAGGTCCAGGACAGTACGGGTTACACAGAGAAATCTTGTCTTGAAAAACCACAAAAATAAAAACCCCAAAAACTTGTAATTGATTTTTATATTGTAAAACAGTTCTGTGTACAACAGAGAAACTAAAATGGGGGACTCCTTTTGAGGGGCCACACCCACCCTCGGACGTGTCTTTCTTTCTGAACACCCTTCTTTCTCTTAACTACAGTGCTTACAGATCTTTATTTGAAAAATCTCAATTCAGAGGAGAATTTTAAAATATCTATAATTTAATAATCCCAAATTCTATTATAACAGGAAGACTGAACTTAGGTCCCTGGCAGAGCCTGGGCTCGTGCTGTGGCTGCTCAGCGCTGAGTTCATCTGATGGAGGCTCCAGGTCAGAAGCAGCGTGCACTGCACATCGACCAGCGTGAACGAGCCAGCATGCACCACTCACGGGCCAGCGTGCACTGACTGCTTACAAGCCAGCGTGCACCACTCACAGGCCAGCGTGCACCACTCACAGGCCAGCGTGCACTGTAGGTAGTACAAGCATTCATTTGCAAGGACATCCTTTACTCAAGAGTCGTGGGAAACACAAAACGGCCCAGATTTCTGTCGGCCCACACAATAGGTCCACCCCGGAACAACAGGCTTGGGGTGAGGTGCCTCATTTACAGCACAAGCTGCTCTCTCTGCGTCTCTTTAAGAAAGTACGCCTTGCTCACTGCAAACAAGAAGTGGCTCGCACCACAGAAATCAGGGCCTTGCATCCTAGACAAACCCAGCAAGCATGCTCGGGACTGCTCTGACCCTCTGGGTTGCTTCTCCCACAGTCAGCAGATACTCAAAGGAAAGGTTTACATATAGCAGTCAGCATAGTGGCCATGCTGTGATCTCAGTCCTATGGAGGTTTAAAGAGCGAAAAGATAGTTTAGACAACCAAGCCTAGTAGCACTCGGGAGAGAGAGGGAAGTAGACCTCTGAGCTCAAGGCCAGCTTGCACAACAGCCCAGAGCATCCAAGGTGCTTGTTGAGACCCTGTCTCAATAAAACAACAAAGCCAGCTTCAGACTCAGCAGCAGCTAACACTCCGGTCAGTTGGTGTGTGCGCAGGTTCTACATTCCATTGCCACTCTTGTTCCTGAGTGTTATCTCAGAATAGTTCACGGCACGCCTTGCAGTAGAAGTCATATCTCCTAATGAGCCTTCACACTGTTTCCAGAGTTTCCCGATTTGAACAAAGCTGCAGAGAGCTGGGCAGTGGAGGCAGGGGCAGGCAGATCTCTATGAGTTCAAAGCCAGCCTGGTCTGCAGAGCAAGCTCTAGGACAGCTAGGGCTACACAGAGAAACCCTGCCTCAAAACACCAAAAATATATAAGCAAATAAATAAAATTTCAAAGTCACAAACAAAAAAGAAAGCTGCAGAAAATAGTCTTGTTTTCTTTTCCTTCTTTTGTAGTTTTGTCTTTTGTTTTGTTTTGTTTTTTTCTTTGTTTTTGTTTGTTTGGACAAGGTTTTGTGTCTCTGGGGATGACCTGATTCTCCTGCCTTTACTTCTGGCATTTTGGGAGGTGTACCACCTACCCTAGTTTATATGGTCCTGGGGATTGTACCCAGAGCTTCCTAAATGCTAGATAAACACTGTCAGTTTAGCTAAATCCCTAGCCCAGCAATGATTTTTTCCTGTGATTATTATGTTTTGCTTTTTTAATATGCATGGGTGCCGTGCTGGCACGTCCACCTGTGCACATGTGCACGTGGTGCCCAAGGAGGCCAGAAGGGGGCGTCAGATGCCCCTAGACCAGGACAATTGTGAATCTACCAAGTGGCTTCTGGGGATTAAGCCTGGGACCTTCCTCCAGAAGAACAACCAGCACACTTAACTGCTGGGATATCTCTCTGTTGTGCCCAGTCCGTGGGGGCCCCAAAAGACTACTAGGAAGACTGATTCCCTGAAATGCAAAAATAGGTTTATTGTCCTACCGGCAGGGACCTCATCAGAGCGGCATGTACCTCACCCTTCTAGAGAGCATTATTTAAAGGCAAAAAACAGGAAAGTTACATTAGCAGGGTTTGGGTGGTGGGTTCAATCCTGATTGGCTCGTGTTTAGGGACTTCTTACAAATTTTAATTTCAAACCTCGCCTGTTGCTTGTCAGGTTTTCTTATCAACTGGGACATTCTGTGGTTATCTGTCTTCTCCAGATGGCTACCCTGGTACTTTTGCCCCTAGCCATTTCTGAGGACTGGAACTGTTTTATGGGAAATAGCTTACACAAGACACAAGATGGAGGCAGAGGACAAAATGGAGGAACTTTGGCTCTTCACCCTCCAGTCATGTATTATTTTAAAAAGAAAGACCCAGGGTTGGTGGGCCACACCTACAATCCTCCCACTTGGGAGGGAGCAGCTGGAGAATTAAGAGTTCAAGTCACTCTTGACTACGTAGTAACTTCAGAGTCAGTCTGCCTGATACATGAGACCCTGTATCAAAAAGAAGAAAGAGAGGGAGAGGGTGGGAATGAGGGGTGAGGGCACAGAGAGAGCAAACCAGAAAGAAGGTGGAGTGGGGAAGAGGAAAAGAGGGAGGGACCAAAGGGAGCGAAGGAGGGGTAGGGGAAGACAGAAGGGCAAAGCAGCCCACTGTTGGGTGCGTGTTTCTTCTGCTCCTGCACACAGAAAAGAGTTAGCAACTGTTAATTAGAAATGAAAAGTGTTTTAAAACTGGAGGGTATAGGGTTTGAGATGGCTTATGGGTAAGAGCACTTACTGCTCTTGTAGAAGACCTGGCTCAGTTCCCTGCACTCACATGGCAGGTCACCTACCCATTGCCAGCACACACGCCAGCACACACATCAGCATACGCATCACACACATGCCAGCACACACATGCCAGCACACACATTACACACACGTCAGCACACATGCCAGCACACACGCCAGCACACATGCCAGCACACACATTACACACACGTCAGCACACACATTACACACACGCCAGCACACATGCCAGCACACACATTACACACACGCCAGCACACATGCCAGCACACACATTACACACACGCCAGCACACACGCCAGCACACACATCAGCATACACACCAGTACACACATCAGCACACACGCCAGCACACACATACACACATATGTAAAACAAATCTTTTACAAGGTTATTTTTGTCTTTTTTTTTTAATAAAGGGATAAAATACAGGGCTGGAAAGATGACCCAAACTAAGAGCACTTGTCGCTCTTGCAGAGGACCCAGGTTCCATTCCCTGCACTCACATGGTGGCTCAA